CCCGCCCGCGCCTTGGCGACGCCATGGGGACTCAAGGAAAACCCGAATCCCCTGGGGATGGCGGAGTCAAGCGCAGTGTACCGACTCGCGGGGAAGGGATCCAGAAGGAGCGTAGGAGTCAACATGTAAGAGGGGTGCATAGCTAGCGGTTCGATATAGGGATACTCAAGATAATAATGCTCAATGTAAGGAGAAGGAAACCGGTCTAAATCAATGGAGTCGTCATCACTTGATGGAAGGTCCGCGTACTCGATGGAATCCAATATGGTGCAAAAGTCAAAGGAGAGGGCTAATGCTACGGGGTGCGCATCCTCGAAAAGAGGAACTAACTTCAAAACTCTAAAGAGGGTTTACAGCGAAACTCACCCGACACGAGCAAGGACGAGACGAACAAAGAAGACACGGTTGGGGAACACGGCGGCGTGAGCTCGGACTCGGTGACGTGGGGCTTGGTTGGGTGTGAGCTCGGCCTCGGCGATCTGGGGTCGGCCAGACACGGGCTCGGACTCGGCGGAGTTGGGGTTGGACGGGTGTGGGCTTGGCTCGTCGGCGGCGGACTTGGCGCGGTGGTAGATCGGCGATAGGCGGCGCCGGCGCGGCGGTTGACGGCGAGGGTTGCGGCCGGAAATTTGGGGGGATGGGGAGAGATTTTTTTAGATTTTCGGGGGCTTTGTGTGTGTGTGGGAAGTGAGGGAGATGCTACTTTATATAGAGGAAGGGGTGGAAGAAAAGAGGGGGAAAAGGGGTTGACATTTTTGAAATTCAAAAGGGTGTTAGGAAGGGGGAAACTTTGTGAAGAGAAAGGGATGTGACTTTTGAGTGTGGAGTTGGGTTTTAGAAGATGGAGGGGGTATTTATAGGGGGAGTTGAAGTGTTGTGGTAGGATGGGGATTCTTGAGCTGATAAGGATGAACACATGTCTGGATTCTAGTCTGGTTGGGAGTCATATCGCGATGGAAAATCTATCCGAACGCGAATAGTATTTTTTGGAACGCAATTTGGGGGCCCCGTGATTATTAATTTTGTCTTACTCTTTCGCGCTGATGACTTCTCGCAGCCCCGATAGTGGGGGATTCTTGATGGAATAATCACGGAGCGGGTCTGAAGCGGAACAATACGGAGCGGGTCGGACCCGGCATCAACGGACTACCCGCGACGCGTGGCGAACCACCCCGGGGTCGGCTCGTCGTCGAGCCGATCTCCATGGACTCGGCCCCATGGGTTCGGCCCCTTGGTCGAGCCCCGTGCTCGCCCAAGGGCTGGGTCCTCGCGTGGAGCGAGTCTCGCGGCGCGGGCCGCGGCTCCTCCCGTGTACCCCGGGCCCGTAGCGGCCGGGGAGTATAAAAGCACTCCCGGTGTCCTATTCAACCATTTACTACCTTCCTACAACAATTGTCTGATTATTACATGTTTGTTACCTCTGTAATAGCACTATTCGTTCGATTAATATAATATCGTTTACATAAACACCCCTATTATCATTTTATTATTCGTTTATCATATTCGACATATATTCGGGTTGTGTAATCCGGACCCCCGGGTTCATATAATCCATCATTTGGGTAGTGGGAAGGGGTCCCTGGGGCATGTCTTGTTAAGGTTTGTGTAGTTCACACACATCCTCCACGTAGGTGGTTTAGGTGCGAGGACTACGTTCGCGAGCCATGCCGGGTATAGGACCTCCCTTACATGCCCGATCTCGAGGAGGGTGTCGACCTCCTTCTTCACAAATCCTCGTCTGTCCGCGGTGAGGTAGCGCTTCCGCTGTGGGATCGGCTTGGCAGTGGGGTCCACCGCCAGTTTGTGCGTGATGACCTTCCGACTGAAGCCCGGCATGTCCTCGGGGCCCAGGCGAACACGTCCTTGTAGTTGTGGATGACCTCAACGATCCAACCCCGGAGGTCGGCCGGGAGGCCTGTACCTACCTCACCATCCTGTCGAGTCGGCTGAGGTCCAGAATGACCTCCTCTGTCTCCACCGCGGGTTCGGCTCGGGGCCGCTTCTCTTTCTCTAGGAGTGCCTTCTCGGTTACGGTGTGTACCTGGAGATCTTTCTTCGTTATTTGGCAGCATGCTTTCAAGTAGCAGCTCCGACTGATCTTCTGGTCTCCCCGCACGACACACACTCCAGTAGGGGTGGGGAACTTGAGGCAAAGGTGCTCCATGGAGATGATGCTCCTGAGGTCCTCCAAGGCAGGTCGACCGAAGATGATGTTATGGGCGCAGCTGATTTTTACCACCACGAACTCCACCTCCCACCGTTTAACGTGTGGCGGGGCGCCGATTTGCACCTCGGGGGTGATGGAGCCCTCTGTTTCAATGGAGTCCCTGGTGAAACCAGATAGCGGGGTCCATACCTGGCAGAGCTACTTCTGGGATAGTCCTAGCTGCGTGAAGGTGTCATAGTACATGACGTTCACGGAGTTCCCCGTATCCACCAGTACTCGGTGGACAATGATGTCTTTGATCTCCAGTCTGATTACCAATGCGTCCCGGTGGGGCAAGGGACCATCCGGGAGGTCGTCGTCAGTAAACGTGATAGGCTCCCTACGTGTCTTCTTTTCGTGGGGTGCTCGGACGACCTCCCCCACGTATAGGCTCCGCGCCCACCTCTTCCTCTCAGCGAGCGTGTCTCCTCCCTCCGGGCCACCGAAGATGACGTGGATGACCTTTTTCCTTCACAGGCTGTCCGGCTCGGTCTCCACGTCCTGCGTGAGTTGGCCGAGTTCCCTCTTGTGCGGGGCAGAGGCGGATGGCCCGGCGCCATCCTTCTTCTTCCGGGCGTTGTCGGGGCCCTTCGCGTGGTCCTGCCCTGATCTCTTCACTTATTAGCCTAGGTATCCCCATTGGATGAGCTCTTCGATCTGCCTCTTGAGGACCATACATTCGTCCGTGTCATGCCCGCACTGCCGATGAAAACGACAGTACTTCTTCGGGTCGGCCTTGGGGGAGATCTTTAAGCACTCCTCGGGGAACGACACGATGCCCATGTCCTTCGCGTGGTCCAGAATGACACTCAGGGGCTGTGTTAGTGGGGTCAGGTGTCGTAGTGGGGCTAGGCGGGGACCCTGTTCACGGCGTGATCGCGACGGGCGGCGTTCCTCCTGGGGTTGTGGTTCCTTGTCGCCCCGGCCCCGGCCTTCCTCCTCCTCATTCTTCCTCTTCTCTGCCGCCTCGGCATTGGCATACCGCGCGGCGCGGTCCATTAACTCCGTGTACGTCTTTGGCTCGTTCTGGACGAGGTCGCTATGGAAAGGACCGGATCTGATGTTGTTGGTGAAGAATGGGATGGCGGACCTTTCGTCGAAATTGGCCACCCCCATGGCCTCTTTCTTCCACTAGCTCAGGTATTCCGCCAAGGTCTCCGACTTGTGTTGCTTCTGGTAGCACAGGTCGGCGAGCTGTTTCCTTCGTTGTATGCTGCCCGCGAAGTGTGACATAAACTTCTTAGCTAGGGCGGCAAAAGTGGGGATTGACTCCGCCGGCAAGGACCCGAACCAGTCTTGGGCCTGGCCATCTAGAGTTGTGCAGAAGCCGCGACACATGATGGCGTCATTGACACCTGTCATCATCATGACCACCTTGTACCTGTTGAGATGATCTCATTGGTCCGTCGCCCCCGTGTAAGGTTTGATGGCCGGGTATCGGATGTCCCGAGGCAGGGGCTCGGCTATGATGTCCTTCGCAAAAGGGGTGTCCAAGGCGTCCCGAGGCTCCGGTGACTTGTCGCGCGCCTCGATCTTGCGCTGCAACTCGCGCATCTGCTTGCGCAGTTGTTCCATCTCATCGCGCTAGAAGCTTGGAGGTCGGCCTCTGGTCTCCCCCGAGCGCTCCACCGGTGGGGTCGGCTCCCGTGGCCCCGGAACACGAGGTTCATGGCTCTGGGACCTCCGTGAACATGATGACTCCGCCTGTCTGGCGTTTGCGGCCGGCCTCGGCCCTAGGCAGTCTAGCGCCGGAATACGCTGGCCCAACCGCCCGAGCGCGGATGTGGTCCGGGTCGGCCGAGTCCTCCTTTCCTCCCGTTGCTCGTGCCGGCCTCGGCTGGCCTCCGCTTCGTCTCGTCTCTCATATTGTTGCGGTGAGTTGACTTCTCCGTCTGTCAGCGTCTCAGGTGCTCAGGGCACATGAGTGCTGGGATCACTGCGTCCCCTTGAAGGGAGAGGGGGTGGAGGTGTCGGGGCACCCCGCCTTATCCCCTCCGCGACGCGGTTCAACGCGGCCGCCGCTTGCTTGAGCGCGGCCGCCTCCTCTCTGGGGGTTGGAATCGGGGGCGAAACGAGCGGCGCCGACCCGCCGCGGGGGCGGTTGTTGCTGAGCTGTCCTCGGTCTCCGCCGCCCCCCGCCGACTCCCGTTGATCTGATCTCTGAGGTCCCCTCCTGTCCCCACGGGCACGGTCTGTCGACTTACCGTCGTCCCGTTAGGGTGATTGGCGAGGGAGAAGTCGCGCGTGTTTCGTGAATCCTGCGAGTTGTGGGTGTTCAGCCCGGATCTTGTCATCGCGGCGGATGAATGATAGCAGGGAGAGCGCTTAAACTTGTACAGCCGCTCTTAACAAGAGCACCAATGATGGATTATATGAACTCGGGGGTCCGGATTATACAACCCGAGTATATGAATTAAGTAAGAAGTAAGAGAAGGTTGTTAGACGATATGTAATAAGTGAAGGTTGTTAGATGATATGGAGCTGAAACCGGCTAATCTACTTTTTCACTACTAGTATGAATTATCCATTACGTTTATTCTATATAAATCATTATCAGTATATTAAGAGATGGCACAAGTTATCAAAACATATATTAATTTAGAGATGACAACTTATGGCACAAGTTATCAAAACATATATTAATTTAGAGATGACACAAGTTATCGTACATTATACCCACTCACATACATGACTTGTAATCTCTCTTTCTCTCTCTCTCTCTCTCTCTCTCTCTATATATATATATATATATATATATATATATATATATATATATATATATATATATAATATATTTTGAAATACTTGATTCTTTACAAGGTAGTATCTGTTTTATACTTTCTCAAACATTTTCAGCCCAAAGAATCTAAGCCCCCACCACCGGGGTTCGAACCTTTGAATATCCACTTGGATGGATAATCCGGATGCCATCACACTACATGTTCGGCGACTTGTAATCTCTCTATAAGCAATCAAGACAAAAGCTTTGAGCTTATTATTACATTTACATTGCTACTTTCCATTTATATTTTTACCAACATAATCCATGTACGAAAAATGTAATTTGCTTCAAATCTCTGTTCATATTATATCGATTGCGATAAAGTTCATATTATTCTTTTGGTACATTTGATAGGAATAAATCTAGTAATGAGATTTCTATCATGTCTAGTACTTAAAATAGAGATGTACATGTTAGAAAATTTCAAAGGTGGAAATGAATGGGTGGATAGCTCATCATGCGCACTTCATGTGAACAGCGCATGTTGCGCTTGGTTGTGGACGGTATACGTCCTTCCACTTTTGTGGAAGGGATGGGGGGCTGCTTACTATAAATAGCAGCTCCCAACATCGTTTCAAAACACACCTTGAATTCGAATCATTTAATATATTCTTCTTCTTCCTCCTTTCGTCTGAGCAATAGTGAGGTTCGCCTACGTGATTGCTAGTGCAAGCTATCCGTAGTAGGTCTATGTAGCCTGTCGAAAGCGTGCCAGGGTCCTAACTGCACCGTTACCGGGCAAATAACGCTTTTAAGGTAGTGTTATTATAACACGACACAGATTTCCTTTCAACCATACACCAATAGTGTCCGTGCTTCTTAAAAGGCTTCCAGATCGCGCGTTGACGTTGCAATTTTCCCCAACAGTTAAAAGCGTTATTCTGCAACAGTCAACCTTCAGCATTATGGCACCTACTTTCATACCGGATCTATCAAAAATCACCGCCCTTGATGGGAAAAATTACAGTAGGTGAGCTAAAAGAATGTTTATTCTTTTCGAACAATTAAAGTTGGTTTACGTGTTATATTCAGTTTCACCTGAACCTACTCCGACACTGTTCTCTCTGTTTGGTGCTACAAAATGTAACCATGAACCTGATTACACTCCGGGTGAAGAATCGAGAGAAAGCAGTCCTGAAATAGATTACATTCCGGGTCAAGAACCGGGTGTAACTCTGATTCAATTTAGAAATGACAATGCGGCAGCCAAAGGATACCTGCTGTCACAAATGAATGACGATTTGTTCGATGTCTATGTCAAACAAGATTCGGCAAAAGTCATTTGGGAATCACTGTTAGAAAAGTACGGTGCCAATGAAACTGAAAATCAAAGTGTCAGAACTGTCTACAACAAAAGGAGTAGAAAAATCAAGAAGTTCAAAGGAAGGTGTTTTACATGCAAAAAACAAGGACACCGAGCACACCAGTGCTACCATCAGAAGGGCAAAACTAGCAAAAGTCAATCTGACAGAGCAAGATGAGTATTGAGTCTCTTTAAATAAATAGTTATTTTGAGTAACTATATTTGCTCTAGTTCTAAGGGTTCGCATGAAGTATGGTTATCTTAGTACTGAATTCTAGTTGAGCTGTCTAGATTTTGATTACTTAGTAGTACTTATTTCTTTAGTATTTTGAATACTAATGACATTGATTGAAATAATTTGTGCATAGATATTGCTCAAACTTTTTACTAAAATTATTTGTATAAAATTAAGAGCATATATCATAGGCTTCAATTGTAATTTAGTGAGAACATGGAAAAGTCATCATTCTTGAACACTCTATCTAGGAAGATGGTTTTTAAGTAAACTTCGGTTTCACCACTTGACCTGGGAGTTTTAAGAAGTAGGGTGTTGATCATGCAGGCTAGTTAGAGCGCCACTTGATCTTTACCTGAAATGAGGATGACTTTCATATGTTGCTAATACAATCAAAGCCTTGCAATAGAAGTTGTTGAAGTACTGCAATAGTAATATTGATCTGCATCCTATAAATGCTTTATATGAGTTTTAAATTCCTTAAGGGAAAGAAAAATTGTGCTAGTGGCAACTCTGAAGTCTCATTGTTGAGAGATATTCCGAATAAATATGAGCTCAAACATATTCCTTTTGTATGAGATTAATTTCTTATAAGAATATGATGTGAAATTTGTGATTATGTTGTTCAACTTGATGTAGCATGTGGACAACATTATTTCTATGGCTTACTAACAATTAGCATTTGTATATATATTATTTAAACTCTTGGTTGAGTCATATTGAAATACCTATAATTCCTAGTTAAAGGGTAATTGTGATCAATTGAGATAACCAAGTTTGTTGAAATATATTCAACTGTTGAGCATGTATCAGGCAGAGTGCGAAGCTTCTATAATGCTCCACAAATCAAATCGGCAAAACTCAGTCTACAAAGGAGCTAAAGTTGGGCACCAAAGATCAGTCTGGGTAAGAGATCAAATACGCTTGACAAAAATATTTGTAAGTGTTGCATTGTGGGGGTAATAAACTCCTTATATTTTCATCAAAAGTTTCTCTATGGTATTGAGAATAATGGTGAAAGAGAATGTTTCATGTTAAACATGAAAATCTCAAGGGATTATTTACGAGTAAACGAAGTACTCGTCAAAGTGCATGTAAGTTTGGTCAAGAGAATCAACTTACTTGAGGGCTAATTATGAGGATTAGTCGTTGACTCATTGGAAGGACTTAAAGTCCAAGTGGTAATGAATTCGTGGTGGATCCCACTTCAGTGGTCAAACGAAGCCATGAAAAGAGTTACAAAATAGTACACTAGTTAGTCATTCCGACAGTGTGTGTACTTGTGAGGTTGAGCTACAGCTCTTAATGAATTCATAACTCTTTGAGAAAGGGTGGTTTTGTTGAGACAAACCTAATGAATTCACCGCATGTGAGGTTGAGCTACAGCTCTTAATGAATTCATAACTCTTTGAGAAATGGTGGTTTTGTTGAGACAAACCTAATGAATTCACCGCATAATGACATGAGTACAAAGTGCTCGTGGTGCCCATAGATACTCTGTAGCCAGTCATGGTGGTCTGCGTTGAGGTAGACTTGACAGAGTTGAAGGTCTATCCTAGAATAGACCTAACAGGGGATATCTCAGGGTCAAGAGTATGACCTCACATATTTTAAAGCGACCAAAGCAAATTAAGTGCGTTAAGTTCAAACTTTGTCTATTCGATGAGTTCAAGATCAAACTCACTCCCGTTTAGAGAAGTACTTAATGTCACTATATGACAGTTCAAGTTTTATACACTGGCATGAAAATTTGTTTTGATCGTTGTCAGGCAATGACAGCATCAGCCTAAGTCCCTTTAATGGTGGGGGATTGTTGGGAGCATTTAAAAGGAAAGGCTTCCTTTTGCCTATCCATGTTGTCCCACATTGGAAGTTTAGCCTCTTATACTCAATTGGGATGGTCTATGTTGAGATAGACCTAAAGAGATCCCTAACTTGAGTGGAAAAGGGCTACCATGGTCTATGTTGAGATAGACCTAAAGAGACCCCTAACTTGAGTAGAAAAGGGCTAACCGCCTCTTATGAAAGATAATGGGGTTATCCCAAGAAGTTGAGTGGCTAAGAAACATGGTGATAACCGTGTAATTTTGGGGGTGTCCAACACCTTCCTTCATTGTGATTCACAAACTGTCGTTTGCATTGCAAATAACAGCCTATGATAGAAAGAAAAGACTTACAACTGATTTATGTCTTTAACTACTCTATAAGCCTTTAATGGTGGTCTATACCGAGATAGACCTAATAGAGTTAAAAGTCTGTATTGAGATGGACTTCACAAGACGGAAAAAATCTATAATGTTGTAAGACTTGTCAGAGTTAAAAGTCTATTTTGTGATAGACTTTGACAGGGTAGAAGTCCATATTTGAGACAGACGTAACATTCTTTAATACTAAGGGTGTTCATAAGAAGTCAAAGAGTTTGACTTTTGTAGAACCTGCTTTTTGAGTTGGTGTGAGCATTCGAGTTCAAAATTTATCTAACCGGTGAGTTCAAGATTCACATCACTCCCGGGAAGAAAATTACTCAGTGTCACTACGTGTCAGTTCAAGTTCTCAAACACTGACATTAAGATCAACTCATTTGTATTGCTCAGACCTTACTCCTTTTCCTTTCCTCTTTAAATTTGTGGGGGATTGTTGGAAAATTTCAAAGGTGGAAATGAATGGGTGGATAGCTCATCATGCGCACTTCATGTGAACAGCGCATGTTGCGCTTGGTTGTGGACGGTATACGTCCTTCCACTTTTGTGGAAGGGATGGGGGGGGGGGGCTGCTTACTATAAATAGCAGCTCCCAACATCGTTTCAAAACAGACCTTGAATTCGAATCATTTAATATATTCTCCTTCTTCCTCCTTTCGTCTAAGCAATAGTGAGGTTCGCCTACGTGATTGCTAGTGCAAGCTATCCGTAGTAGGTCTGTGTAGCCTGTCGAAAGCGTGCCAGGGTCCTAACTGCACCGTTACCGGGGAAATAACGCTTTTAAGGTAGTGTTATTATAACACGGCACAGATTTCCTTTCAACCATACACCAATAGTGTCCGTGCTTCTTAAAAGGCTTCCAGATCGCGCGTTGACGTTGCAATTTTCCCCAACAGTACATGCATTATCACATAAAGTATGTCACGTACCCAAGTATCAATTCAAATGATTATATTAAATTATTAATAGAAAAATGTTATTTTCAAATTCATTCATGAAGTTATCTCTTAATTATTTAGACGAACAAATTGCACTTTTGGTCCTGTGAGTATTAGGGTACTGACAATTTGAGTACGTGACTTTCAAAACTCCCAATTTAAACCTTTAACTATGCAATTTTTGGCAGATTTGGTCCTCCGGGCCAAATTGCCGGCCAATTTTGGCCGGAAAAACATAAATTGGTTCAAATTGTGAATTGACGAGGGTAAAATTGTCATTTCACTCCCTTCTTCTTCATTCTCCCTTTCTTCTTCGTTATTCTTCTTCTTCGCCGTTGACCGGAGGGTTATCTTAACATAAACGAGCTTACTCCTCCGCAGAACTGGAAAATCAACGGCAGTTCTAGCGGCGAAGGTTACGTGTGCGGGCCGCC